TGAATAAATGTTTTTTCTTTCTTTCTTTCTTTCTATGTACTTATGTATGTTCGTGCGCTATTATCTCGCGATTGGCTGAACCGATTTTGATGCGGTTACACTTAGAAGAAGGTTTTAGTCTAATAACTAATCGACTTCGGATAAGAGGGGTTTGTAGTCAGTTATTTTAAACATGGTTTATAAATTAAACAAGGTTTATAAATTAAACAATCATTATTAAGCATTATTATTCATAAAACCACAATAATATCGAAATCAGCTCACACTTGCCCACATAAATTCAATCAGCTTCGTTTAATAGTATGTTAATCATAGATAATTATTCACTATCACATCTGTCATGGTCATTGATTCCAAATAACATAATCTTATACTATTGATGACTTGATATTTGACATTTTGAATTGTTTTGAATATATTAATTTTTAGATGTTAAGCTTCTATAGTTTTGGCCTGCGGTTTTGCTTGTTTTTATTTCTATTTAACGTGTTATAATAATTAACATTCATCATCGTCATTGACAGCCTATAAGTAGCTACTGCTGACCAACAGCCTCTTCTTAAACGGAGAAGGTTTCAGAATTAATCACCACGCTTGTTCAATGCGGATTGGCGATTTAACACTTATAATTAGAATTATAAATCCAGGTTTCCTTACGATGTATTCTTTCACCGTTGGTCAGTGGCATCTACATAACCTTGGAAGGTACATATAAGTCAGGAAAAGTCACATTGGTACTTGTAGTTGGTAGGTTTCAAACCCGCACCCTCATGCCTGAGAAGCGGGATTATTAATATTAGACTTGGTAAAAAAGTAAAACCTGTGTCAACTACAAAGTAAAACATATATGTGCACCACCCCTGCTCGTTCCATAGATGTAGTAAAATTAGAGCTGGCTAAGAGAAAAGAGCATGCCTGTGACTCCTCTGGTATTGCGGGTGTCAGTGACCGCTTACCATCAGGTGAACCGTCTACTCATTTGCCTCCTATCTATACTAATATTATAAAGCTGAAGAGTTTGTTTTTTTGTTTGTTTGCACGCGCTAATCTCCGAAACTACTGATTCGAATTGAATAATTATTTTTGTGTTGGGTAGTCCATTTATCGAGGAAGGCTATTAGGCTATAAAACATCTCGCTACGACCAATAGGAGCCGAACAGAGCGGGTGAAACTGCGCGCAAGTAGCTAGTTCGATATAAAAGCGACTACATATTTGATAAAGACTGGGTAGTCACGCTCTTTGATACACCTGAACCTTTTAAACTGTAATGTCCAACCGTCCTACGAAGTGTGGAGATCATGGAAATCCCTCTTATGTAGAGGAGGTTCTATGGACCTCCTCGGGGCTATTCCCCAAGAAGATAATCACAGGTCAGTAAAAACATGGCATTTTGACGAAATATAATTCGGTGGAAAGTAAAAATTTCTCTTTCAACAAACAAACATACGCACGTAAAAATATACAATAAACATTAATAGATAATCAAGCAAAGCCATTAAAATTGCCAATTTACCTTTTAACATAATTTTATGTCAAGTTAATTTGACCTGTGATGTTATAAATCATTATGGCCTTGTAATTTAAATATAATGTCTTTATATAACTGCCTTGTTGGCCGAGTGGTCGCAATTGCGACTGCCGGGCAAGGGGTCTCGGGTTCGATTCCCGGATCGGGCAAAGTATTACTGGGCTTTTTCAAAAAATCTCAGTAGTAGCACGGAGTCTGCAATTGTGCCCGGTATATGGCAATAGGCTCACCCCTATTACATGGGACTCTTAACATAAAATAGTGAAAAGTGGGTGTTATACTGTACCGTAAGTGCCGTAATGTGTACCTCCGACTCTTCCTCCGGGGATAAAAGGCGTGAGGTTATGTTACGTCAAAGCAAATCTTTTCAAATATTTAAGTTATGGTCTATTATTAAATTATCCTATGTGTTGGGGCGAAAATATATCAAATGTAATAAAACGTTTCAATGTCTTCTGAGCTTCTATAACGACCAAAAACAGAGAAAGTTGAAAAACACTTCGCTAGACCCATGAATCGAACCCGAGACCCATACCTCAGCAGTGCCCTCTTCACAGTTTTTAGAAATAAAAAGGAGAATGTTATTATATATGAAGCTCCCAAAGCAGTTGAACTGGTGATATTCTCCCGTATATCGCTCAAAACGTCAATAGTATCGAATGTATCCATGTTCGGTGCTCGGCTGGTGATTTAACGATCGCTGAATTTGTTGCGCGCACTGATTGAAAGCGTATTACAGTTTGATTTGAGAATTTTGAATTGCATTTCTTATTTTTTGATACGCTATTTTTAAGATGGAGTATTTTTATGGTGATGGTAAGATGAGATCATGGTTATGAAAATAATATCACGCCTTCTATCCTATAATGGGGGGATACCTACACCTAGATTGTCCTAGTGCATGCATCTAACTTTATGAGATCAAATTTACTTATCTAAGATATATTTTGTATTTTGCATTATTGAATTATGAATAAATTTTACTTTACTTTACTTTACCTACTCGAGTTTGTTTCGTCTTTTCTTATCAGAGTAATCAGTTAGGAAATGCCTCATCTAGTAATTTAAATACTGACGTCTAAAAATTATTACTTCGTAACCTATTTGCAAAAATAAATATTATTTTATTGCACCATTTCATTACTTTTCAGTTACCTACCTTATTAAATTGGGTAATCCTATTAATTGTAGCAAAATAGAAAAAACAAATTAGACGGCTGATTCGGATTCAAGTACACTGGCAAGCTAACAAACGGCCATTGAGATATTCAATTGAAAATACTCAATTAGGTACCCCCACATTACCTAACTTAGGTAACAGTGAAATGTAGAAGTACCGACTTGTACTATTAGCAAATGTACTTATGTCGAATGTCTATCCTTCAAGAACCCGAGCGTACGACGCATCACGTTCCGCGCGCGCCTCAAAGAGCTATCAGTGGCCTTAGTACGACGTTGTTTTACGTTAAAAGTAATCAAAACGAGACTGTCTTCGGCCCTCCGATTCGGTTAGTGCTTTGGCGCCGGCCAATCACAGCACCGAACACTTACTCGTTTCGATTACTTTAAACTGTCAAACACCAAGCGGTCACCGGTGACCGCGACCTATTGTTCTTTAATTGTGTCTATAAAACCGGTACTCGACGAGTTAAACGTGATACAAACTTGTCCTAAGGCCTCAGACTACCACGAATGGGGCCCAATTGGGCTGATGCCGATACGGAGCCGCGGAGGGCTTAACGGGTTGCCAGGGCTCCGGCTCGAAGTGCAGGAGTAGGAACGGGGTGGTTTTAGTCAGTAAGAATCTGACACTTCCTCCCACCTCACCCAGGCGGGAAAAGTCATTCGATTTACCGCCTTAAAAAAATAAAATCCTTTCAAAAAATAGCAAGCTAGATAAAAAAGTAATAAAATGAGAAATATTACTTACGTTTCATCGCAAAAAATACCAACAGTACCATCATACGCACGACCCTATAAAGCAATACACACCATAATCGCTATACCGTCACAGATTCGAGCAACAACTCCATAGGGATCTCCATGGGGGTTGAAATCATAGAACAAATTAACTCATAACATCACGCCCTTCGTATTAGATAGATACATACACCATCACTTTATGGGGGCTTTTCATTTTGTACCCGGCAGACGAAATGAGGGTTATTTCGTTATCTATTGTAGTCATTGTAGATTGTAGACATTGTAGACAGGGCCGATGCTGATTCAGAGTCGCGGAGAACCTAACGGGTAACCGGGGCTCCGGCTCGACGTGCAGGAGAAGGAACGGGGTGGTTTTTAGTCAGTAAGAGTCTGACACTCCCTTCCGCCTCACCCAGGCGGAAGCAGTCATTCGATGATTTTCCCGCCTTAAAAAGAAAAAAAAATTGTGGTCATTGTAAGTTTTTTAGATAAGACTACTGAATCGCGTAACATAGTTTCACAACATATTGTTGGATTATTGGATGTCGGGATGTTTCAAACCGGCTAGACACTTTGGCAAAGCGTAGAGATGTAGCCTCATTGTGCAATTTCTATCGCTTATACCACGGGGAGTGCTCAGAGGAATAGTTTGATGGTGATACCTGCTGCATCTTTACTCCATCGACCCTCACGACAGCATATGCATCCCCATTATAAAGATGGTTGACAGGCCACAACTGTGCGCTTCGTACGTAGCTTTCTGCAACGCATAGCAAAACTGTGGAATGATCTGTCATCGGCGGTATTTCCGAACCGATACGACCTTCAAACCTTCAAGAAATGAGCGTATTCCTTTTTAAAAGGCTGGCAACGCACCTGTGACTCATCCTGTGTTACGAGTGTCCATGGACGGCGCTGATCGCTTACCATCAGGTGATCCGTATGCTCGTTTGCCTCCTATTCAATAAGAAAATTATGAAAGCTGGCAGATTAAGCTAGGACAGGAAATTGTCATTAACTTTGTTATGAGTAAAATTCTAATTGGAAAGTGGACCTAATAGTTAACTATGGACTCAAGAGATAATTTTTTCTATTAAAATCAACCTATGTCTTATTTTTTATTATAAGGTCCATGCAAGGGTTGACACATATTGCCAGATATGCAGATATAGAACCACAATTACAGACATTCTGACATAACAAAATTTTAAAATTACTCACATACCCTCCATTTGTTATCTACACTTATTCAATTCCAAATCAGTCTACTTACTAGGTTAACATTTTATCACAAACCAACTATAAATAAATCAGACTGCAATCACCAGTAAGTGTGGGAGAGCCATGCTTTGGCACGAATGGGCCGGCTCGACCGGAGTGATACCACGGCTGAGTAGAAAATCGATGTGAAACAACGCTTGCGTTGTGTTTCGACGTTACCGGAGGCCCAATTACCCCCTACCCAATCTCCCCAATTCCCAAATCCTCAAATTCCTAATCCCCAAAAGACACGCACTTGTAACACCTCTGGTGTTTCGTGTGCCCACGGGCGGCGCCGATTGCATGCCATCAGGTGATCCGTCTGCTCGTTTACCGGCTTATTCCATGAAAAATAACATCTCTATCTAAACACCATAACCGTAACTTAACTTTATCAAGTACGCACATGTCATAACTGGCCACTTAAACTAACAACTAATAAAAATAATTAGTGAAACGTTTTCTCCACCACCATTCATCATTATTATGAAATCACTAGTAATTACTGCTAGAAAATTATTCTTAAACACCTACAAGACAAACCCATCTTTATTATATTTAGAAGAGAATTCAAAATCATTTACCAGACGGAGGTAGTCTTAAAATAATATCACAAGATACCATCTCAATCCAAATTCAACCTTAAAACTTAGAAGTTAATGTTGAAAATTCATTACAGTTTACAATTTTCAGTGCGAAAGTTAGAGGAAAGAGGCTGGTTTTACATCTCGCTTTTACTTAAAGGAAAATGTATATCTATCTTTGTCTGGCTCTATTGATTTTCTACGAACGGATGTCGCATTTAAGAGGAGGGTATTTGCATACTGCAATTTGGTAAACCAACTGAAAGATTCAGGGTTCCGTCTGGAAATACAAAATGGCGTCAAATATAGCCTTTAATCACATTAAAGAGATGAATTCTTGAATATTTTCCGGAAAACGACATACATTTTGATGAAATGTTGTACCTATGTTTTTGTGAAGAAGATTTTAAGTTACATGCCTTCGAGGCGTATATTTCATGAAGCGGTAGGCAGAAGTATCCATGTGATGGCTGTTATTTAGTGAATGTAAATTAAAATAAAATCTATCAGTCTATCAGTTAAATCAATGCTAGTCTATTAAGCATAATTAAAGACACTTGAAAACATTAAAAAATACAATCCCAAACTCAATATCGCTAGCTGTTACTGCAGATTAAGATAATGAAAATGTGTAATTAATACCAGAATTAATCTTCTTAATAATTTCTTGGTTATTAGAAATGAATTTTTAATACACTGAACAGATAACATAAGCAGAATATAATATATTTTTTAACCGAGAAAACTAATCTTCAAAACAGCAGAAAATCTAACACCATCCCAGACTTCAAACTAACTATCATAAGCATACAATCCGAAAAACCATATCTATAAAAAAACCACACATACCGACCAAAACCTAACTACAACCACAACTCCTCTACCCCTTAATACGTGAAAATATCCCAATCCCTCCCCCCTTCCCCCCAAATTACATAACAATCGTCGCATTAAAGTTTAATTGGGTGTAAAGAGCACCCCCTTAAATGGGAGCCACCCAATGTGTACACAAGTACACCCACACATAGAACGGAGCTCTGCCATTGGTCCGTTACTTGAACGAGAATATTGCGCACATGTTAAAGCTATTTGTGCTATGCAGATATAGTGGTACAGGGTGTTGTGAAATATTTGTAGAAGAATTTATTCTTGGTGAAGTAATGCTAATTAAGGTCTGCTCTTGATTTGTTTTATAACTCTACAAGCACAACGGTATCTACCGTAACGGTAACTACCTTCAAATTAAAGGTATTTGTACTGATAAATACAAATTTGACTGCACGGTTGGCGCGGTGGCTAGGCAACTGGCTGCCGCGCAACGTATCGCGGGTTCCATTCCCGCACGGAACAACTCTTTATGTGATCCATACATTGTTGCTTCGGATCTTAGTGTCACATGTATGTGAACTTGTATGTTGTAAACGCACCCACAACACAGGAGAAAATCCTGGTGTGGAGCCAGTGGCGTGCACAGGTTTTCGAGACAGGGTAGGCAACTATATAAATATCGTATGATTAACCCCCAGCCCCCCCCCCCCTCCCGCCGGTCATACAATCATGCTCACACAAGACAGGTACATGTACAAATACATTTCGAAAAGTGCGTTCAAGAATATTGTGCTTTATTCTTTCGCCAAATTACATACACTGACATCTCGCGTATTTTTTGTGAAGTACTTCATCAGCTATTGAATTAGCAAACAAAACTTACAAATTATGAAGGATCTATTATTTATTTTAATAATGAAGCATAAATTTGATGAACCAAATTTCATTATGGAATTGTTAAGTTTAATCAATCTGTTCAAAATCATAATATACATATTAGAAATAGAAATAGAAATAGAAATTTATTCGCAGGAACATGTGATACAATGGATCTTAGTCTAATTTTCAAACAGTACAGTGTATTACGAATTTAAGAGCGTAGGTACCTACATTATGTCAACAAACAAAACAATAACAAGCGCGGCCGGCTGTGGCCGAGCCGAGTCTATGCGGTTTTTAGTTTATTACATTACATAGTTATTAATAATAAATTAATATGTAAATCAGTACAACTGAAGTCTAAGTTGATATTTTTAAGAATTATCAATCAATAAACAAGAAAATCAAATAAAAGATCCATTATATAGTACATATTTACATTACCTACCTTTTACTTGGGTCAATAGTCAATTCTCGTAACTCGAGTACACCTCTGCCAATGGTCATTACCGGAATCTAGTCCGATAAAGGACATTTTCTTGCGAAATCTTACTGTTTTTACTTTCAACAAACACATAAAATTACCTATTATCCACACGAACTTCACAATCGAATAATATAGGTACTTGTACTAGAAACTGATAAACAAATACACTATTTGAAAAACCTACACATATATTTAACTACTACTACACATATTTCGCAACATTATGTTTAAAACTAATTCCTAATAATTTAAACGAAAACATAAACAAAGCGATCGCACATCACATGAAAACAATATGGCCGAAAACATTGGAAATGAATTGAACTCATTACCAATAGTCAATTGAGTGTTTATTATAAAAAAATGTCGCTTAAAAATTAAGGTAATGCAGTGTTTAATTTAAAAAAAAACAAAGGTTAATTTAGTAAGTCAAATGAAATTGCATCATCGTCTTAAACCATAGAGCAACACGGAGGGGAGTAGCCATTGCGTTATAAACCGATACAAAACTGTCTGTCATTTTTTGCGGGGGGAAATCACACATTCTCAAATTCTCACACAAAAACATTCCATGTCACTACGAAACTCACACTATGACAATTGAAAAATACACTGACAATTTCACACACACATTTAAACAATCCCTGTCGTAATAGTGTAATAATATGACGCAACTACACTTACACCCGCAGTTGTAACAATTATCGATACGCTTTATCGATAAATTCAAGAATCCGTTAAGGAAATTAGCTTTAAAAATTTATTCAAAGACAGACATTTTTTTACCTAATTATTATACTACTATTATTACCTAATTATTAGGACTGCCTCGTTGGCCGAGTTGTCGCAAGTGCGACTGCCGGGCAAGGGGTCTCGGGTTCGATTCCAGGGTCGGGCAAAGTATTACTGGGTTTTTTAAAAATCTCAGTAGTAGCACGGAGTCTGGAAATGTGCCCGGTATATGGCAATAGGCTCACCCCCTATTACATGGGACTCATAACATAAATAGTGAAAAGTGGGTGTTACTTCTATGTGCACCTCTGCCTACCCCTTCGGGGATAAAAGGCGTGATGTTATGTTATGTTATGTTATTATACTACTACTACAATAATCAGACAAGATAATAATAACAAATAAAATTTTCATTTTTTTAAATAAATTAAATTACTAAGCCCATTTAGAAACCAGCGATGAAATACTGATACGGAACTATCACTGGTTTTTAAAATAGATTAATTTTCTTTAGATATGACGAACACATTTTTGGGGGTTTGTTTTTTTGAATAAGTTAGAAATTATTGTATCAGTATATTTTTGCATTATTAATCTTGCTAATACATCTGGATTTGAGCAAATGGCAATATTTCTTGTGGGAATCCAGGTTGGTCTGTTATGACAAAATGTCTTACATATATCTCTTAAATTTGGATCTTTAGGAAATCTGCAATAAATAAATAAAATAATAATAATAATAAATATAGTTGAAGTTCTCACTCAGTATTTTTTATTTAAATCAGAAAACTTAATCCCAAAGAATCTCACATTTGACTTCACCTTTTACATTTTTATCGATAACTATCTACAAACAAACCGGCAACAACGCTATCGCTCGGCGACAGCGAATTCTAGGAAAAAAACTCGGATCTGTCGCTCGACCGATCCGCGTTTTGTATGAGAGTTTCGGATTTGTTTACCAACAAATCCGAAACAAGACGATTGATAATATTGTAGTTTTTTTAAGTTTATAAGAAGTAAATAGCAATAATGTGATTAAAAATTACTTAATATGAAAGGTAACACCATGTTTTTGTAAATTTGACGTGGCAGATCTCTTTTTGCAGCAAAAAACAGAACAATTCGGCATTTTTACGTCGCCGTCGATTCACTAACGCAACTAGATTTAGTCTGGTGAGCAGTTGAGTTGCAACTAGTTTTATTGTACGCATAGGACCATTTGGACTTATACTTTGACAGAGGGGAACGCCTGCGTATGGCTACTCCCCTCCGGTCCGCCGGTGGCCCGTGTTGCTCTATGTCTTAAACCAATATTTCATACTAAAAAACATTCATTCATATAATTTGAAACGTTGTAAATGGCGCCATCTTGACGTTTCAATAACTTCCTTTTAACTTTTATAATAATAAAGTCAACTCCTCGATTAAAATTTCTATATACCGAAAACGCGTAAAAATGTTAAGCTTTAATTAAAACACTTGAAACATATTTGTTAAATACGCATTTATAAAAATACATTCGCATTATATCGAACGAGTTCAGAAGTTTCAACAAAAAATTCAATAGATGGCGCTGGTGTACTCCATTCATCAGTACTTTACGATATACAGATTGTATCAATTTAAAACCTTTTAAGATTTAATTGTTTTTAAAAATACAATAACTTGTTGCTGTTTTATTGTTTTAGAATTCTTAATAAAATACGATCGTTTTCCAAGTAATGAACGAACGATCCTCTAATTTTTTAGTTGCCAAAATTTTGTCAATCAAAAGGAATCGTGTAATATAATTATGAATGGTTATTCTGTCACGTGACTATGGTCGTGATCTTCACGCATGCGCGGTGCATACTTTTAGTACATTACTTTTGTGACGTCACGACTGGCAACCAAGATTTAAGGAATAGCTGCGTATGCGTGGTGCGTACGGGGCGCATTCATTGCTTTACAAAGGCGTGCGGTCCGTGTATAGTATATATGTGAATGTATATTACAAACTTTTATTATATTATTGAATCTTAATAAACGCGTTTGTACATTTTATGTATTTTATATGTTCACGATATTTATAAGTCAGGCAAAGCCTTTTCGCCTGTATGGACTGCACGCCACTGTGTGGAGCAATGTTTAAAAAAAATACCAATAATATCATAATTGATACCGATTACATGGTCAAATTATTGAGTCATATTGAGAAAAGGCATAGGCCTAGGTATATTGATTAAATATTAATTAAATGTTAATCATGTGTAAGTATATGACCAAAATTTTCAGATAAAGGATAAACAGAGAAGTATAATGTAATCGTAGAGCAACTATTTATTTATTTTATTTATTTATATAAAACCTTACCTAAACTATCATTACAGGTTTCTCCATTGCGATAGCTAGGCCTTGAACTAAATCTATGTAACGTCCAATTATAACAAAATCATAAATTAAAAAACAAAAATGAACAAATTCTTGGCTAAACTAAACTCAATAATCGAAAATACAAATAAAATACAAAGATTACTAGCACTACTTACTACATAAAAATTAACAAACATACAGTAAAAGTAAAGTTAAAATAAGTTAATAATAATTTTAACTAACCTATGAGTAGCATAATATGTACAACTACTGCCAATAGTTATCAACCAACCGCACACTAAGAAAAAATTTTCATCATCAGCTCATCCGTTAATTCATATTCGAACCATCCATTGATTCTCCAACTAAAAAAGACCTAAATCCCGACTATACGTAAAAATATCTCCAGCAAGTATTGAAACAACCTGTACACCAGACGTTGGTAATGACACGTTTAACTGTAGAGCACGTCTAACGCACACATAGACAGGGAGGGTGGAGGGAACCAACGAGAGTCTGCGAGGACCGGAGGATATTTTGTGAAGAAAATGGGTGTAAATGGACTCCATTTCAGAGGGATCTTTGGCTAATTATACTTTAGTATCATTAAGAGATTGAGAACATAAATGTTTATAGTAATGCCACCATGTTATGTGTTCAAAATCGATGTTATTATTGTGTACCAGGTTTAGATCTGAGTATGTTTTAAAACTGCAACGAAGAGATGGACACCAGCATTTATTAGGTGGTCGGTAATATAAGTAGAGATTCCTAGCCATCAAAGCATGGGGATTTTGGCATATATTCTCTTAATACAAAGACCTTTGTTCAGCTGGCGACGTACGTTAGCTTTGCAGCTGATGATGATGTACGTATTATTTGGGTGGGTATCTGTGACCCACAGATCGCATAATTCAAATATCTAGCCGTCTTAAGATGTACCAATGGTTGAAAGTCTGACGTTCTAACTATAACTGACTTTAGTTATCTGGACTCGCTTAGTCTTCAAGTCTTCACAGTTAAAGTCAAAGTCAAAGCATTTATTTCAATTAAACCATAATTTAGTACTTTTGAAACGTCAACAAATACAAAATAAATAATAGTCTGTCAGTCAGTCCGTTAGTGAAGCTAGATAGTCAAAGATAGATAACTTAAATATTAGTAACTTCGTTTTAAATTATGATGTTCATCCAATCCTTTCGTTAACAGAATTCTAGCCTCCTTGGCTATCTATAAAACTTAGACTAACCTTAAGATTGAACCTTAACAACAATAAATTAAAATGAAACACCGAACTTCAGTACCAAACATTTTCCTTCCTATCAGAGATTAGGAGCAAAGTAATCTTAAACGCATCACATAAGGGATGCTGGGAGTATCTCCGCGTCCAATCCATATTGGCGTTAGAGAGAGATGGGTGATATGTTAGAGAAGGATGGAGAACACAATCCATCGTCTTACAATCCCATTTCCGGCAAGTATCACTCCTTTAGCAAATACCACCCACTTAAGTACAGGCGAGAGAAATGGTGAAACGTAATCCTCTTATGATTTTGGGCTGTGCCAAAAATCTGGTTGTATTTTCAAGAGGCTGAAGGAAGGGCAGTCTAAAGATGCTGATACTGAGAATCTTTCACATCACATCACATTAACAGCCTGTAAGTGACCACTGCTAACAAAAGGCCTCGTCTCACACGGAGAAGATATACCATGGCCTCGTCTCAATGAGGTTAGATTCTTGAATTCGATTTTTTCATAAGACAGGGACTGTAATAACCTCGGGGCGGTGAGATGCTCTCAGGTCATAAGCTAACCCTATAGAAATTTTGATACTGACACTATTTTGCCAATAGCACCTTTATATTGCCATCGTAAACTACTAAAAATGTCACAAGACATTACCATATCTTACATTCGTTCATTGCTACGAATCTTACATTCGTCTTTTGCTTCATCAACAGTCTTTTCGTAGGCCGTGGTTATAGCCTAAAATTTTTGTACAACTACACAAAACCACAACTTTAAAACAAAGACCTTAATTTTCAAAATCTTTTTAATGAAGGACTGCCTCGTTGGCCGAGTGGTCGCAAGTGCGACTGCCGGGCAAGTTGTCTCGGGTTCGATTCCCGGGTAGGGCAAAGTATTACTGTGTGTATTCGGCAAAAGACATGCTCGCCAGGAACAAAAAAAAATACATTATACTTAAATACATATATTTAACTTATCTGCGCATCTGTACCATGCCCAGGGGTGGCACTTATCTCTGCAAGAGTCTGGAGGGTGGGAGACAGCCCTGGTAGGAGTATGGGGGTGTTATTTGTCCCCCATTACTGAGCTGTTAGTATAAGCGAGGAATAGAGACATTTGTGTAGGTATGTAGGTATATAGATACTGGTTTGATGAGAATACGAGATAATTGTCTAATTATTACTGCTATTAGATTAATTTTGTGATTGCGTAGCTTGTTGGGGCGTATTGATTGGATGTTTGGTTGTATATGGGTTTAAATAATCATTTTGAAAACGTATAGGAAATTGTTCTAAGTTCATGTAGATAAATACTACTGACATACTGTAAAAGATACATTTTAAGTGTGGGAGAGGCATGCTTCGGTACGAATGGGTCGGTCCCACCGGAGTGATACCACGGCCTCACAGAAGCCCGAAGTGAAACAACGCTTGCGTTATGTTTATGGAAATATTTGAAAAATCCCTAATAACGCTGTGACCGATGCGAGCCTCGAATCTGAAAACCCTTGATCGTCAATCGCGGGGCTCCGGCTCGAAGTGCAGGAGAAGGAACGGGGTGGTTTTTAGTCAGTAAGAGTCTGACACTCCCTCCCGTCTCACCCAGGCGGAAGCAGTCATTAGATGATTCCCCCCCCCCCCTAAAAAAAACAGTCAACCAATCAATCATTAAGAATTCTTTTTCTAAGCCACACTCGGCCCATCCTTATTCCACCCGAATTCACACTAAAACTCTAAGATCCAAAAAAAATGGTGATATAATCCCCAAAATGAAATACACCAATAATTGGGTGGAACCCAACACCGGCCGCGACCGACATAAAGCAGTAACACGACACTAGCAATCAAGGTTTATGTGTTGCAAGCAATTTTCTAGCGACATAATAAATCCTAAAGCGATAGATTCGTCCTCTATGGTGTATGCTACTTGGCACTCGAAGTTTAACCCTCTTTAAAAAAATATAAAGAAAATATAACCTTACATGACGCCATTTTGTTAGTTTCAAACTAGCGACCCGCCCCGGCTTCGCATCGGTGCAATATGCATGTATTATTCGTATAAACCTTCCTTAAGAATCATTCTATCTATTAAATAAAACCGCATCAAAATCCGTTTCGTAGTTTTAAAGATCTAAGCATACATAGGGACGACAGACGGCGGATAGCGACTTTGTTTTATACTATGTAGTGAACTGAAGTACGTATTCCTTTTTAAAAGGCCAGCAACGCACCTGTGCCTCCTCTGGTGTTGCGAGTGTCTATGGGCGGCGCTAAACTCTTGCCATCAGGTGATTCGTTTCCTCGTTTGCCTCCTACTCCATGAAAAAAAATGTTCTTTCGGTGTGTGGCTGTGGTAACAGTAAAGATAAAGATATAACTAGATAAGTTTATTTGTCAAACAACATGTTTGTCTTAACATAGAAATTCAGCATTCAAGATCTTAATGAAATTATTAAGTCTGTACTTGTTTTGCCTGGTCAGGTATATAGTTAAATATGATTTTGTTTATACAATTTTTAGAATAGGCCAACGTGTCGTGAACCACGCAACGTGTCGCAGGTTCGATTCCCACACACAAAGAGAGCTATCTTTGTGTGATCCACAAATTTTTGTTCCGGGTCTGGGTGTCACGTGTATGTGAACTTGTATGTTTGTAAACGCATACACGACACAGGACATAACGCTAGTGTGGGGTTACGTTTAAAAAAAAATAGGCGTAAACGCGGGTATAGTGAGAGCTAATTAAGAGACTACTTACACATTTGATAGAGACTGAGCAGTAGTGACTTCAGAAAAACCTGAACCTTTTAAACAGCTATTTCCACCTCCCCTACGAAAACCAGTACAGCAGTGGACTTTTATAGACTGCTAATTATAAATATCAAATCAAAACAATTCAAAAGTAAATCTTTATATAAACCCCAAAAATATTTATTTTAGCGTGCAACACACGGGAGCAATATGGCGCACACTTTCGCGCCAATTCTATTCAATATGTCGGATGGCAGTAAAAAGAAAATGGGCTAGAGAGGAAACTAATAAAAATACGATAGTCCACAATAAAATGTTTGCTGGAAAAATGTTTACTTTCAATACTAGAACGTCTTAAGTAACTTTAGGTTATAATATTTAGACATATTCTTCAAAAACATGAACATTACTTGATTGACCATTTACTGCTTTAACTCATAGATTCTCTTGACGAACAAACGTTTCCAGTGTGTCAAACGGTTCAAAAGGTTTAAATATAGGTATAATTAATAAACATAATATTCATCTCTTTTGCAAATTCACAGCATAATATTGTGTTAAAAGTAAAGTTTAAAAGAAGAAGCAAAATATAATTTCGTAATATCTAAGTACCTACTCTCATTTTGCTCATGATTTTGAGCCTTGATTCAGGAGGCAACTTTTTACTTATTAAATCTTTCATCAATACCTACATTGTTATTTTAAAAATATTGATTTAGCGAAAATACGATCCAAAGCTGTTCATTCCATCTTTTATTTCAATTTATAAGTTTTTTACCCTGAGCGAAGCCAGGGGAACAGCTAGAGTACAATATAAAACCTAAACAAAGAACAAACGACATTTGTCGCTTAAATCCGTTCAGAAACGAAGCCCCACTCGATATTTTCAACGGTTCTTGAACGAATATTGGTCCCCGTGGATCGATTTCGGACGAAACGGCAAAAGATTTTTGCCTCAAAAAGAAACAAATTTGTAATCGACCACTTTTGATAGACACTTGTGTTTAGGGTTGGTCTGGTGCAAGATTTTTGTGTCTACTTGAATAAATATACGTATCTCTCAGTCTCAGTCTTTGAGGTAACATTTTTACATAAGCCCTTTGTTATTATCAATGTTCTTGTTTTAATTTTCCTCGACTTTTTCAATTATAATTTTGTCCTAAGTAACAGAATCCTATATTGTTATTCGTACGACTAACGATAGTCTAGCTTTGAAAAAAGGTATAGCTAAAAGGTAAGCTAGGTATATCTATTTAACGTATCTATGTAAATATATACCTCATCTAATTATAAAATGTATCGCTTAATGCAAATCTGACCAAATCTTCAATTCTTTATTAGAACTTGTTGGGTAAAATCTATTCAAAAAGAAAAATGATAAGATTTATTCAAAACATAAAGTGTTGTTAATACCTACCCAATGTCACTGTTTAATTAACATAAAAATCACTCAAAGTTTATCACTTCACCTCCCTTCCAGTTCACCATACCCTGGTACAAAAAAAAACACAAAAAGGTTTTCGTATTGTTTTCACAAATCGGCCCCGAGCCTACATTCGTTAGAATTGCGATTGAATTTGTTCCGGCATCAGCCATTTTATTTCATTTGATCACTACCAACCGTCATTGTTTTGTTTCGATTTTAAATGTACTTTTTGGGAACCTTTTTGTGCGAATATAATTTTCGAAATGAGATTTTTGAGTTGATACAAGTTTTATGGAATTGGTTTTCATTCGAATTTAGTTTTCGTTATAAATGTTGTGCTTTCTTTGATATGTGTTTGGTATGTATGGTAGATACTTTTCTAAATCTATAGTATTGGAATCTGTCAGACCTGATAACACGGTACGTCTTTCAGATTTATTTGTCCCAGAATTATATTCTTTTGGTTTTTGCATTCAGTAGGTGGCGCTACTGTGTGTAAAGTCATATTGGCTTAATCGCAATTAGAAGTTTACTGTAGAGCTAACAGATGATGATGATGTTTTTTTTATGGAATAGGAGGCCAACGATGAAACGAGCAGACGGATCACCTGATGGTAAGCGATCAGCGCCGCCCATGGACACCCACAAAACCAGAGGAGTCACAGGTGCGTTGCCAGCCTTTTAAAAAAGGAAAACGCTCTTTTCTTGAAGGTTTGATGTGGTATAAGTTAAATTCAGTGGACCAGCTCCTCAGAGACTTAACACCTTAAACTCAAATTTAAAATGGTAAAAATCAGACCTCCAATCCCCATTGGTCACCACCGGTGACTAGCGTGGCACTCTAAGGGTAAGACTACCATGTTAAGTTATCTCTATTAATGTTAAGTGACAAAATCGGCTTAAAACTTAGCCACGAAACAAAATTAACTTAAATTTTCAAAAGCTCAGAATTACAACCAAAATGAGCTCTTGATAAATTGTTTCTAATCCTTCAATTTTTTTTCTAGTTCCCAAACCAGGATTCGAACACCAACGTTCCCGGAACTAATTTGTCGTTTACATTTAAATCTATGATTTATGGTACAAAAACAGTCGCCGACGGTAAATTATTTATCATCAAGTTAAGAACAAATTGTGGATTGCTCTTTATTGACGGTTTAAGTGACTTTTTAAGAGTTCCTGTTAAGGTTTAATCAGGTTTTTATTTCTATATTGATTGATGACATCTTCAAGATCTAATAAGGCGTATAATGTAATTTCTAGTAGGTATCTATAAACTTGGGCCATTTAGGTAATAATTGTTAATCTTTAATATTGCTGATAGGCCAAAATCAGTGTCGAGAAGCACTCTTCTTCGTGCTCACTGCATCACTCTTTTTCTTCGTGCCGATGTTTTGGCACGATTGGACCGGCTCGACCGGAGCCGGTAACGCACTTGTGTCACCTCTAGTGTTTCTTCTAGTTTAACGGCTTAAAAAAATCTGCTGTTTTGAAAAGATATGTCCATCTGCATATGAAGACATGATTCTGACTCGTTGTATCATTTGACGTTTATTATTTGATTATTATTACCTATTTGATGACAAATACTCGACTGCACGGTTGGTACGGTGGCTGGGCAACCGGGTGCCGTGCAACGTGTCGCGGGTTCGATTCCCGCACGGAACAACACTTTGTGTGATCCACAAATTGTTGTTTCGGGTCATTGTGTATGTGAACTTGTATGTTTGTAAACGCGGCAGCGTTTAAAAAAATAGTTACTAACATGACGTTAAGAACTTTGTCATTAGGGAGAATATTTTGTCTGAAATAAATGAATTTATTATTTTTTATTACATCTTGCGTTGTTATCAGATCAATATAGGTATTATGCAAGGTAATGTCTTTTCTTGATGTAATATACCTAACAAGTACCGAAGTACTTCTTAAAAACTTGATTATACCATGTAATAAACACTTAAATTTAACTAACTGTAACTTGCTATTTTCGTCCTACTAATTTGAAAAACGCTTGCAAATTTAACGCTAAATATGTGTCAATAAATCTTTAAACACAAAAACTAGACTCACTAATTCATGTTACTTTCGCACCATTTAAAAACAAAAACATCAAAATGGCCGCTAAATTGACAGCTGTTTTCGCGCGGGTGGTCGCGTCCATAGATAATCCTATAATCCGACCTGTTTAGATTACTAATGAACGCAACTTATCTTGAAATCGTTAACATGTGTGTTTTAGTAACAGAGTTAAGCTTGCAATGTGATATTATAATCTTAGTTCAAGATCTAACATGATTTATTGATGAGGGAAGAGCTTTTTAGTATTTTCTAAGCACTTAGAAAGTGTCGATTTAAGTCCTATTAATACTTTGTTTAGGGTGACTTATTGGTCTTCAGTAATGGTTTCACATTTATTTTAAAGTGTAGAGTATAGATAGAGCTAACTAATTTCATTTTTGAAATAACTAAAGAGTTCAGTGTCATGATCGGTCTTCTTTCTGTCCTTCCCCTAAGCTTTAGTTAAAGGTTTACGTTTGAATGCCTTTCTGATACATTTCACATCTCTTTGGTCTTCCTTAAACCATCTCACACATTCACCTGCAATTACTACAATAAAGTATCTGTACAAATCTCAATTATCACCCCATCAACGCTACATAAGGAGACAAGCCGTATATCTCTCAAGAATCAACATTCCAAGGAAACACAAAAAACTGGACATTAAAATATCCACCCATATCGTTAAATCCAAATAAATATCATTCAAAGACCGAATTAGTTTGAAAAAGGCGCTCATTTAAGTAAAACTATTTTTGTTACCGGGAAAACATTAAAACTGACAGAATGATAACGCGAAACAATAATTGGTGTAACGACAGAATCGACCCGAGTTGTCCCTTTGATGGATTAGTGAACGCGACCAAAAGTGTAAATAAAAAAAAACGAAGTCAAATTCGAAAAAAGAACCGACGATTGTTAAGGAACACGCTTGACTTTTTGTGTTGCCCTATTTTTAAAGTTTTGGGGAAAAAAGTTTTTTATACGGAGCGAGTGTTGACATGTGTAAAAAGTAACGGGATGGAGACGAAATGTGTAGAATGCGTGTATTGTCACGGCCGGTTAGGATGTTCGCAGGAATGAGCGGATGTCCTAGTAAAGGACGTATTTATAACGGTGTTTTAGCGGTGAAATGCACAAGGCATATATTTTTTATTATGTAAGAAC